AAGAGCTATAACACTTAGAATTAAGAAAGGCATTAATTCTGGAGTTCCAGAGCAAGTGTTAAATTTAATTCCTATGATAGGTCCACTTCATGTCTCTTTAAACAGCAGAGAAATACTATTTCAAACATATCATTTCTTTTTTGAGATGCTATATCATAACTTATTTGGAGATAAAAAAATATTATCTCAAAAACCAAAACAAACAGTAATCAATCTTATTTTACATTTAACTTATCATGGATGGAAAAATATTCGTGATATTGTTACAAAAAGATTTGGAAATTTAAAAAATGCAGAATATCAAATGATGATAGATTTATTAGATAATTCAATACCACTTACTTTGGATATATATGCAATACTTTTTAGAAGTGGATTTTTTGAAGGATATTTAGAAAGTACTGTAAAAATTTGGATATTAATTCAAAGATTGAGAAGACATAATTATAATAAAGCAACACTTATGTTTTTAAGTGATGTATTTTATTGGACTTCAAAAAATCATCCAATAATTAATATTTTAAAAAATAATTTACCAATTTTTAATGATTATTTTGTTGAAAATTTTCATAGCTCTTTAAGGCATCAAACAGCAGAATCAAATTCAGAGTTACAAATTATACAAAAAGCAAAAATTATTGATGCTGAAAGAAATAATAATACTTTTAAAAATTCTTTTGTTAATTTGAGAAATCCAGCTAAGTCTCAAATTAAAGAATTAAAATCTTTAGAAAAAAAGGTTTCATTATTTTTATTCTCAATATTTGATAAGATTCATCAGAATATAGGAAATACAAAACAAATTAATAATGATAGATATCCAAAATTTTATCTTCCAAGTTTTGATATTGAAGTGGATGTAAAGGTACTTCCTTTAGGCTGGAATACACAAAAAATACCAGCAGATGATAAATTTTGTGATGCAAATAATTGTTTATTATCAAATAGTATAGATTTATCTAATGGAATTGTTTTACTTTGTGGACACAGTTTTCATAAAGAATGTTTAAGTACTTTATATGATGATAAATGTAATTTTTGTTTTGATTATTTATCATCTGGAATTGAGAAAAATATTAAGAGTTTGGATCAAAGATTGTAGACATCATTAAAAGAAAATGAAATCCCTTTATTTGAAAAGGAAAATAATAATGATGATGAAAATGATGAAGAAGAGAATATTGAAAACATATTAGAAAGAAAAGAATGTGATGTAGAAAATCAATATGATATAATGTATCAACAATGGTTAAATTATAATGATATATAATTAGTATTAATATAATAATTTTTATTAAATTGCAAAAGTCACTTTATTGAAATTTTTTAATAATAAAAATTAATATTTTATTTTGATTAATGAAAATTAATGAATTATAATTGTATAATTACTCCAACTAATAAGATAAATTATATAATAAAATAATTAGAAGATTCCGAATGCAAATATCTCAAGATATATAACTCCAAATTTTGTAAAATAAAGATGATCGGATTCATCAAGTACTAAGATTTCTAACAAGCTAAAAATCATAAAATTCTGATCACTGGATGCTGAGATAACTGAGATTAACTTTAAAAAAAATCTAATATTAAATGTGATATGATAAAATAGTGATCAACAAATGATCGGCAAATGATCGGCAAAATTGTGATAAAATAGGGATGTCCGCTATGCTTTCAATTACTTGATTCATTTAAAGTTTGTCCATTAATTTCTTTAGAATTTCTCTCAGTCAGTTCTAATGTAGTTTTTACTTAGAAATCCTGAAACCCTTTTCTTTTTGTTTACATTATCTGGTGTTGCATTTTAAGTAAAAGATTTTCTTGTAGTATTTGTTTTTTTTTAGTTTGTATTTATTATCATGTTTATAGGAATCTGATTAATACCTGTGGTACTTAGATGATTTCTTGAGGTCCTTGGAATTAGCATCTATTCTTGTTTTGTTATTTGCTTCTTGTAAAATCTAGAGAAAATGTAAAATAATTTTATTTTCTAACTTTAATATTTACTAAATATAATATAAAATAACTTTTCATTTGATTATAAATAAAATATATTGAGATTACAATCCATTTATAAATAAAAAGAATTAAAAAAATTTAATATATTTTATAATAAGAAATTAATTTTTTTTATATATACAATATATAATTTTAGAAGATAAAGTTTCACTATAAGTATTGATTAATGATAATTGGATAGAGATCCTATTCACGTGATTTTGGCATATAAATGGTTTTTTTTCACCATTTTATTAATGTTCGTTTAACTTCCATATATTTTTAACATACTAATCAAACCAGATAACTTTCACACCTTTAAATTAGCCAATTTTTTACTGACTTGATTGATTTGAATATAGAGTAAATTCAAAGAAATATCCCATCCAGTTTTGAATAGACCAAATCTACCATAATGGCTATGTCTAGGAACTTTTCGGGTAACGACCCTAATTCCTATGGTAGTGATGATGCTTTCGATACATACATCGATATGGACTTCTTAAGAAACAATGCAATGGAAGAAGATGTAGATTATAGAAACATGTCGAATTCAGATCTATTCCGTTATTATTTAGAGGATGAATTAATTAAGGACACAGAAGTTTTGGACCAACCTCCCCCTCCCACCACTTACTCAGCTCCTATGCAAACTGTTACTAGCGACTTTTCCTTGGTGACTAGTCCAGTTCCTATTGCTGAGGATTTAAAACTTACATCGGTACCTGTAATTGAGGAAACAAATGAAACCGCTCAACAAGCAATCGCTACTACTGCGGTTGGGCCGTCTTTGGCTATCCTTAACGCACAGTTGGCCGAGTTGCTGGCAAAACTTCCTACAATTAAACAAGAAGCCACTTCAGATAAAATTACCAGTCCTACCTCACCAAAGTCTAATGCGACTCAGACACTAAAATCATCTAATTTACTCAATAACAATAATGCTCATAAAAGCGATGATAATAATCAGGTTGATATGAAGAAATTATCATCGAAAGAACGTCGCCAAATTCGTAATAAAATTTCTGCTAGAAACTTCCGTGTAAGAAGAAAAGGTTACTTTCAAACTTATATTGTTTTCAATATGAACATGATACTGTAAATTCAATAACTAAACAATTTTCTTTTTTATTAGAATATATTCAAAATTTAGAAACTACAAAAGAGCAACAACAAGAGGAAATAAATTTACTTAGACAAGCCTTGTTGCATTTGCAAGAAGAGAATACAAAGTTGCAACAAGAAATTGAAGAATTGCGTAAACAAAAACAACAAAATACCAAACCCATTGTTGCATCACCACCTTCACCTCCACATATTTCCTCATCTGCAACAACAAGTAAGGATAATAGTACTATTTCTTCATCGTCTAAATTTACAAATAACAATTCACGACCTAATGTTGATCAAATTAAAGGAGCTTTGCCTTCTGTACCACCTCACCAACCATCTTCACCCGCTTCTCGTTATCTAGTCATTCCTAATGTTAATAAAGATGCATCGCCTTCGTCTTCATCTGCAAACCAAAAGACATGGCAAGATTCACGTGTTAGAGTTCAAACAACTTTTATCCCTGAATTCAATCTTGATAAGCATTTATTCAAAGAAAAATCCACACTTTCATATTTGGATTTTCAAAGTTATCCATATAGATATCCTTCTATGATCGATTTGATTGAATTTAGTCAGAGCGTGGATGGTCAAAGATTTTGGCTCGCTTATGTGTTAATCTCAACTGTAATGCAGCAGATGACGAATTTATTTATTGAGGCAGTTTGTGCCACGCCGAAGAATCGAATGATTTCTGCACTTTTTCCAAATGTTAAAACTCCTGCATTAGAACATGCGAATGAAACTCATCTTCAATCGTTTAATGAAGAAGAAAAGGAATCTGAGAAGAACCTTCAGTCTTCTTTGGAAGATGAACAGCTTAACAGTGAAGTTAAAGTTCAGGAGGCTTCCATGTTGGACAACAATACCATGGTTGAATCTGTTAAAGAAGCTTCTGTCCTTGATTGGTTATATGATGCTATGGTTAAGCATGTAGTTGAGCAAAGTCAAATGGAGGCTAAAATGGCGGAACTCAGTGACTGGGTTGGTGAAGAATGGGATGATAATGTTTTGCCATTCTTATTTTAAGAATTTTTATTTACTTAATATTTTGTTATTAAAATGATAAGATTTGGTACCTCATTTTATTACTCTGTAAATATGTAAATTTGCGTTTGGTTCTTTGATCTAACTTGTTCCACTTTGCAATGTACAGCTATGGAAAGGTTCCGTGAAATATAAATTAGGAATTTATGGCTTATATTTTATAATTTTTATTTTCTTCATCTATCCTATTTTATAAGATTTATGAAATTTTTTGATTTGCGAACAATTTTGTAATTAATTTTCAATATATATAATATATACTGTATGTATTTATCTACATATATGTATGTTTATTTATTATATTTCTAAGTTTTTTTTTTCTTACTATGACATATGTTAAAAAAAAATTTTTTTTTCGTCCATCATTTAATAAAGAGGTACAAATTAAGTTTTTTTTTTTAAGAAATATAAAAAATGTTACTATATGCAAATGCAAGTTTGGCTAGTTTGATAAGTTGATAAATGATAATTCGTCGATTTTTGCTGCGGATCGCTAAAAGAAATTGTATAATTGTATTACCAATGGTCCTTTTTTCTATTTAACGCCTTTAAACTTGTAGACTTAATAAACCTTAGCATTTTGTAGTATTTAAATAATTCTTAAGAAAATGAATCTTAGTAACAAAGGCAATAATGAGCTATTGTTCATTAATTTTAATCAGGATTTCAGGTAAATGTGTATTTCTCTCTCGAACTTTGAGACGCGTTTTTAGCTTGTACTCTTGAAAAGGCTGTTCATCCTTTCATACATGAGCTTGTTAACTAGTATCAAATTTATTACAGTTGAGAGGAATGTGTTGACAAGGATTTATGTGTGATATTAGGAATGAGCTTTCTTATCTTTTTTTTTTATTTTTTTTTAATAACTGTTTAATTTTTCTCAATTTATTAAAGCTGTATCTCAGTCGGAACTCAGCATGGTTACAAAATATATAATTGCGATCCGTTTGGAAAATGTTATTCAAAATGTAAGCTTGGATTGCTTCCAAGAATTCCTTATTTATAAATAATTGATTGAGTCATTTCCGGTCAATTCGTCCATTTCTTCTTGCTTTAAACGCGAAGTTTTTGATTTATCTGGTTTATTGCAATTGTGAAGTAGATGCGAATGGATAGAGTTTATAATTGGACATAAGCTCAAAAAAAAATGCTCATACATGATTCTGATATCTACACGGTTATTATTTTTATAGCTGATGGTGGAATTGGGATTGTAGAAATGCTTTTTTGTACGTCGCTGGTTGCGTTGGTAGGAGCAGGTGAACACCCCTCATTTTCACCACGACGTTTACAAATTACTAATACAAAGGTTTGTGCTTTAATCATATAAAATTCTATTATATTTAACGTACTGATTTGTTGTTTAATAATAAAGCGTCAAACAACAATTTGCGAACTTACCTTCCAAACCTCAATCCTTGCGGTGAAATTAAACCGTCGTAGATTAATTGTCGTTTTGGAACAAACTATTTTTGTTTATGATATTAGCAATATGAAGTTATTGCATAACATCGAAACTAGCCCAAATCCATCTGGTAATGCATTTTATTATGTCTATGCTTTAAAATAATTTAATAACGGTATTTTTAAAAAAATTTCTTTATTATTATTGTAAATAGCTATTTGTGCCCTTTCTCCTTCAAATGAAAATTGTTATATAGCTTATCCCTCTCCCACTCCTTCTCCTTCATCTCCTTTTTCAAACCATAGCACACAGCACAATGCACCATCTGGTGATGTTTATATTTTTGACGCTTTGTCATTGCAGGCCGTAAACATAGTCCAAGCTCATAAAAGTCCGGTTGCTTATGTAGCCATTAATTCCGAAGGAACTTTATTGGCAACAGCTAGCGATAAGGTTCAATAATTATTATAGTTATTATAACAGTTTTATAAATTAAAATTTTTTTTAAAAAAAATTTGTAAAATTTACAATTTATTAGGGTACGGTTATTCGCGTGTTCTCTATTCCAAATGCACAGAAGTTGTATCAGTTTAGAAGAGGATCTTATCCAGCACGCATCCATTCGATCTCTTTTAATCTTGTCAGCTCATTATTGTGTGTTTCAAGTGATACAGAAACTGTACATATTTTTAAATTAGGAGGAAATACAGGTGGTCCAGGAGGAGGTGCAGGTGCAAACAATGGGACTACTAACGGCACAGGTGGTGCAAATCCTTCGCGTCATTCAATTGGCCCTACAACAATAGGTGGATTTGAAGCGTTTATTGATGGGAAGAAAAAAACCGGGTCCGGGTAAATTTTATTGTCCCAATTCCTATTAAAAATTATTAAACCCTTATCTAATGGGAAATGTTTTTGAAATATTAAGCACTATACGCCGCCAATCCTTTCATCTCGGCCGTACTGTTGCTGGTAGTGTTGGCAACTATCTTCCAGATGCTTTGACAGAAATGTGGGAGCCAACACGTGACTTCGCATATTTAAAATTACCTAGTTCAGGCGTACAAAGTGTAGTGGCACTAAGCAAGTGGGTTCCCATTATTTATAAAGAAATTTTCAAACAAAAATTCGATGGCTTATATGTTCTTTTATTAGTACCACACCTCAAGTTATGGTAGTCACCTCTGAAGGATATTTCTATCAATATAATATTGATTTCGAGAATGGTGGCGAATGTGTATTGCTTAAACAATTTAGGTAATAATAACAGTATTTTGTAAACCATTTAAAAGATATGTGATAAATTAGTAATATTTACTTGCTAAAAATTATGTTTAGTTTATTGGAACCGAATGAAGATATGGGAACGTCGTTAATCTCAGAATGACCAATGAACTCAAAAACAAAGGGAATCTGGTAAAATCTAATAATTAAATTCGACCTTGTGAGGTGATGTCTTAGTGGTTTGAGTAAATTTATATTGTGGATTTATCTCATGTATTAATTAATATATGGTTTGTGCGATTAGTTTTGCGTTATCTTAATTTAAATATCATATCGTTGTAGTAAAATTTAATAATAAATTAAAATAAGCATTTTGTTTTATTTGTCACATGAATTTAATTGATTAGTGATGTCATACATGTACTGATGATGTAGCATGATAAATCTTTGGTTTTTTAGCTTACGTTAGCTTTTTTAGTTTTTTGGCAGATATGAACTTACTTTCAAGAGCTACTTCCAGGACAATTAAAATTAATGCTAATACTGTAAATGTTTTTCATTAACAATAATCTTTTAGCATACGTACCATTGAATATTAAAATTAAACTTTTAGGTTTTATTGTGCCTTTCCCGTTCCTTGAAAACATCATCTTCTCGCCAAGCTGAGTTACAGGTATCAATTAAGCGCTTATTAGCTTTTTAAATATTGTATCTAATAATCTCCAGTAATTCTAGAATACTGCACCTTCCTTAAATCAGAAAAAAGAACCCAATTACAAGACATTCTCCATTTATCGTTGGGTGAGTTATAATTTATTTATTTTATATGTATTTATTCTAAAAGATTATTGTTGATATCTATTTCACTTATTTAGGATCCTGATAAACCTTCCACGAAGCCCAGATTGCAGCAATATAAAGTTGATCTTAATACATGTGGACCTATGGTTCTTGATGCTTTAATAAAAATAAAAAATGAGCAGGATGCTACATTGACTTTCCGTCGCTCTTGTCGTGAAGGTATTTGCGGATCTTGCGCTATGAATATTAATGGTACCAATACCTTAGCATGTATTTGCAAAATTGACCGACTAGATACTAAAATTTATCCATTGCCGCATAGTAAGTTTCGTTATATAATTTTATTTATTTGGAAAAAAAAATTTTTTTCATAATTTCATAATTTTATAACTCATTTGTGTTATTTAGTGTATGTAATCAAGGATCTTGTCCCAGATCTAACTCATTTTTATAAACAATATAAATCCATTGAACCATATCTCAAGAAAAAGAATGTTCCAAAAGACGGAGATCGTGAGAATCTTCAGTCCATTGCAGATCGCAAGAAATTAGATGGCCTTTATGAATGCATATTATGTGCTTGTTGTTCTACGTCATGTCCAAGTTATTGGTGGAATTCAGACGAATATCTTGGACCAGCTGTATTGTTGCAAGCTTATAGATGGATGATAGATTCTCGAGATGATTATAGCAGTGAACGTAGGGAAGCTTTACAGAATCCTTTTTCAGTTTATCGTTGTCATACTATTATGAATTGTGCAAATACTTGTCCAAAAGGGTTGAATCCAGGTCATGCTATTGCTATGATTAAGAGAGACATGGCCTTAGACTAAAATAATAGTGTAATATTATGTCAAGATTTTTCATTAATAAATTCTAAATGGTTTTTTCAATCTTTGTTTGCTATGATTTTCAAGTTTAACCTTTTTTTTAAAAAAAAAAAATCACAGTAAACAGTCTGTATTATTAATAAATAATCTTTTTTTTTCTGTAGGCTTATTTATGACTTCTATTATTTGTTTCTATAAATAGTGTAATATTTAATTTATAATTATATTGGTCATTAATAATTTTGCCAAAAAATGTGATGGTCAAATGAGAATATTTTTATATATTTATATATGATTTTTATTAGAATAAAATGAGAATCAATTTGGAGAATCAATTTGAAAAATCAAATCATACTTTTATAGCTCTTAGTCTAATCTATAAAATATGATGAGTATTTAAAAGATTTAATGTAATTAGGATACTCAAGCTGTAAAAGCTTTTGCCCCATGTCATTGCCAACTTAAGCATAAACCAAAAAGTATATAAAATCCAATTTTAAAATCTGTATTATTTCTTTAAAATTTTCTACTTATTTTTGGAAATGATCTGCGAATTTTTTGATCAGCACTTATCACGTGACAATACTCCTATTTAATGAATTAAGTTGGCATTCATTGTATAATCGAAAAAAGTGTTAAGTTTCCAATTATCGAATAAATTAATAAAATTTTTGCAGTATTTCTGCAACCTTGTTTAATATTTTTTGATATAGATCAAATATACTATGTAAATGTAAACGAACAATAAATAATAAGAATCGATATATTAATTTGATGTTGAATATCTAATCAATTAATTCGACCAATGTCTTTTCTAAATAAAGTATATAAGAAATTTTTTTGTGGCGCTAAGTATAGCTGAATATAATAAGTCTCGCGTAGCCAAATGCAGTGCCATTCAATTAATAAAACATTCAACATTTAATATTCTAAATTTTTTTATGCTGTTATTTTACATAGATGAATTTATATCCATATTCGAAATGTTTAAATTTGAAATGTGTCATTGTAACCTTATGAATACTCATTGTGAAACCATCTCCCTTCTCCACCGTATCTTTCCATCTCTTTAGTAACGCTTCTAACACTAGTTGCAGTTCTTGAAGGACTTCGTATCGTAAAATCCTCCAAATTTTTGTCTTCTTCTTGCTCCTCTTCTGATTCTTCACCTTTTAATTTTCTTATTTCTCGTTTTAATTCTTTAATCTGCGTATTCATCTCATCAACTTGTAATTGGAAACCTTTCTGCATGTTGAGAACGAGATGATAAAGATCATCCATAGTGAGTTCAGGTGTTGTATGAACTTCTGAATGATCATCTGTTTCTTCTTCAAAATCTAAATATTCAGCAGGTAATTGGTGGGATATGGGAGAAGATGGAGCTAAAGAAGGAAGTGTGATTTGTATATGTTGTGGAGGTTCTGGGAGAGGAGAATCATTGCTCCGAGTTTCCTCCTCTTTTGCATGGGATTTTTTATTAAACCTCAATAGGGATTTACCGATATTAAAATAATTTTTACGTTTTTGATGAGTTGGTGTAGGTGCTGAAGGTCGGAATACCGTTTGGGATTTATCAGATAAATGTTGAGGTATCGATGGAAGTCTTTTAGATCGAGAAGGTGGTGGAGGCGGTATAATTGAAGTGGATATGTTGGCGGTGTTATTATTGTCATCTTCATCATCATAACCGTCGTCTGTTGGAGGTGAAGGAGGGGGTGAAGGGAGTGGATGACCGTTGCTAGGTGAAGTCGGCGAATCAGGATCGATATATTCTGCATATTCACTCTCTTCATAGTTACCCTCCCTATATTCATGTTCCTCATATTCACCTTCGTCTTCTGTGTATTCACTATGATATAACGCATTCCTGTTATAAGTTCTATCGGAGTTTTCATTTGGATACTCATCTTCATATTCATCGTACTCATCGTACTCATCGTTTTGGTGGTATGATAAGTTTTTTTCGCGGGCTGTTCCCCGGTGTTCTCGTGAACTCGCCATACCTTTAAAGAGTGATGGGGAAAGTGGGCACCAACAAAAGTAAATTCCTTTCACTATATATAACTTGTGAAAGGGAATGTTAAACACTTTAAAGAAGGACTTATTAGTTGGTAGATTTAATAAAAACCAACAAAAAAAAGATACATATGTCGAAATATTTATTTTTTTTTGAGGCCGATTGTTAATGACAAGTCTAAACAAAAATAATTCTTTTTATAGGCTCAGCCTTGAAATTAATTATTTTTTTTAAAAAAAAGAAAAAAGAATACAACAAGGTTTATTTTTTTGCTAGTATTTTATAAATGAAGTCTATAATTCGGACGAAGCTTTTATTTAATTTTTAAACATTTTTATTACTATAGAGACTTTGAGCCATTAATGATGATCAAATTTACGTTTTTGCAACTTAAAAAGGGCTTATAGGTAATGCAATTATGCATCTGGATTTAATTGCACAAACTGTCAGGTAAAAAATTATTATATGTATCAATTAAAAAAAAGGCTTACCCAAAATGAGTTAGTTAGTATCTTTGAGTAACAAATTCAAACATGAAATAAACTAGCTTATAGATGCAAGAGGAATACAAAATAATCAATATAATAAGCCAGATATTATCAAGCAATTTACAATTTATTAAATAACTAAACTAATTAAAATTTCTTATTTTTAAAAAATAATTCAAGTTTATCAACTAATTTAATCAAACCATTTTTAAAAGAACCAAAATATATAAATAAAATTTAAATTAAACTAGATTAAACTAATAAGGTTATTTAATCTGATTTGAGAGTTTTTTTTATATTGCAATCTAAAAAATTCAAGTTATAGTTCAGTTTGAAAGTTTTAAAATTGATTAATCATTAAGTTAATTTTGCAAATTTTAATATTATTATATTTTTTACTATATATTTCAAACTAAAGTTTCCTTTTCTATATATAGTATTTTTTTAAAAACAATTTCTTTTTTCTACAGTGCGGTACCTCTATAATAGGTACCCCTTATATCTTGTGATCTAATGGTCAGAATTTTATAAAATTTTAAAATTAGATAGCTTTTAAAAAGATACATGTACATTAAGCAAATAAAAAAATTTTCTCAAATTTTTTTTGCTGACATAATACAAAATCATATGACTTAAAATAAATTTGATTGGCTAATGTAATACTTAATGTTAATTAGAATATATATTTAAAAGTACCGTATATCGCGGGCCATAGTACCCCCTATGCATAGTACCCCCTTGAAAAATTTCATAGAATTGTATAGTACCCGGGGGGATATTTTACAATTATCTCGTGATCTAGTGATCAGATTTGAGCCATTATTTTTTTGTTTGATAGCTCTCATTGAGCTCTTCAAAATAAAAAAAGATCGTTCAAATTGGACTAGTAGATCGTGAGATATTTGCAAAAAATGGAATTTTTAGGCTTTGTTTAGTACCCGGGGGTACAGGGTCAAACCCCAATTTTTGCAAGATACCCGGGGTACTGTGGCCCGCTATATACGGTAATTTGATTAAGTATATCATCAGGAACTTTTCTATGGAATTTATATTTTTTTAGCAAGTTTTCCTGTAATTCCTTTTTGAGAAATAAGCATAATATAATTTGTAATAAATAAAAATTATCAAAGTTTTTTTTAATTTTTTTTCAAAATTTTTTTAATAAAGTATGGGTAAATTTATAAGCTAAAATGATTTGTTTGAATAAGCACTATCAAATAATTATTTTTTTTTTATGTTACACAAAAATCACTTATTCTCAAATTTTTCCCATCATAATAAATTACCTGAACTTCAAACTTATGTAACACTAGCAAAATTTATTATTTTTTAATCTAACCCAATAAGTTTAAAAGCTCTTGATATGCTTTATTAAAATTATCGGTTAGAATTTTAAAATATTATTTTTTGCTAATGTGACATCTTTTTGAAAATGTCACATTATGACTATAAAATTGGGTCGGGTATAGAGGTACCGCATTGTATTAACTTTATTTAAATATTATATAAATATTTTTCTAATATATATCTTAAACATTTTATATTTATAATAAATATAGTAATATAAGATTAACCTTTTAATCAGTTTTTTTAATTAAATATTTTTATTGGTTTTTTTAAATTGAATAATATTTTTTTATTAGCTTATTTAAACTAAATTCAGTTTGTTTTTCATTATAAATATTTTTTTTTATAATTAAAAGAATTAATAATTTTTTTTTATTTTTAGAATATTATTAATATTTTTTTTCTGAAAAAAAACTCTTCTCTGTAAACCCTATTTCCAGAATTTCTTACAAAAAACTAAAGTTATTTTTTGAAGAAAGAGTATAGGAAATATCAATATAGGAAAAAAAATAATATTACACAATATGGTAAAGTTTACTTTAAAAAAGTTTATAAACAAATTATTCAAAGTTTTAGCATTTTTTTTTACCAAAACCTTTTACTACCAACTTGCAGAATATTTAAATTAAAAGATTTAGAGTTTGACATATTAAATTTAGACAAAATAGTATTCTGAACATTTCTCATACAACTTAGAAGTAACGTATAATAAAATGCATTTTTAGCAACAATTTGATCAATATTAATACTAAAAATGCAATTTTACTATTATTAAATTCGTCTCATCAAAATAAATTTAAAGAGTTTAAATTCGTTATAATCCAATTACTAGATCACTTAAAACAGAGATATGTATGATAAGAAAATTTGAAAATACCTTTGAAATACACAATTCTGGTCAGAATTAATATATAAACTCTATGCAAACTTTAATGTGAATTGTATAAGATATGTTTAAGATCCTAACAGAACTTTTAAAAAACTAAAATCAGAAGACAACAATCTCATAAGAATGCTATTTATTAAAAATATTAATGAAAAATATAATATTATTAGTAATATAAGAAACTCTATCAAAATAACTTTTAAAAATATTACTTATAAAGCTTTGATATAGTATTGATATAGTACAAGAAAATTTTACTAGAACTTTCCATTTGGAAAAATCAATAATAACTAACCAATTTTGAAATAAAAAATAATATGACCAATATGAGTTTCACTTTAATTTATCAAATGATGAATCAGATTTATTAAATATAGTATTTCTAATTCCCATTTGATTAATTTACTTTTTTAAATAGTTTTGATTAAAAAGTGAGATCTTATATTAGGATGAATCTTTAAAATCTATATATATATACATATTGGCTAATAATCAAATCATATAATATTTTTTATTTTTAAATTTAATCATTAATATTTTCACATGTAATGATCCAATTTAAATGGTCTTTAATTTTTAAGATAGAGCAAGTTCTTACCTTTCAAATAAATATAAAATTATTTGTTTAACATATATGTATGCTGAAAAATTAACAAATAATATTCTATAAAAGATTCTTGAATTCCTTTCATTTTATTTAAAAGACTTTACTTGCTATTTAAAATATCAATAAAATAACACTAATAAAAAAAATCTTAAAAAAAAATAAAAATAATTTTTTAAAAAAAAAACTCTTTAAAAATCCTATATTTAGTAAATTTACAGTATACTTATAAATATTTCTACAAGAAAAAAAAAACTAAAGTTAAAAATAAAAAAAAAATAATTTATTCCTATGAATAGAAAGTATAAAATTTTTTCTTTTACTTACTAGTTAAGAAATAATAACTATATATAATTACAAACTTTTTTAGTTTATTTAACAAAAAAGTGATTGAAAAGTGATTAAGCAAAGAAGTACTTTACAGAAACTTCAAGATCGTAGCGAAGGCTTAATGCGCAATAACTGCGTTATAAATACATAATGACCACATTATGTAATCGTAAAGAAATTACATATATGCAGTTACTGCGCATTAAGCCTTCGCTATGATCTTGAAGTTTCTGTAAAGTAGTTATTACCATTAGTTTTGAATATAGTTTAAAATTTTTTTTATTTTTTTATAAATTTGAATCATATAATAAATATATAACATATACAGTCAACTCTCTTTATAGTCATACATTTAGGACAAGCCATTTTTCATAATTATAAATAAGTGTAATTATATACACATTTTTAATACATTTTATTATACTTTATTAAAAAATATACAGTGGCTTGCATAAATAATGCACCAAACTATTTTAAATATACTTGTAGATGAAACCTTTTCACGTGATTTTTGGCCACATCTTTAAATCAAAATTAAGTTAAAAAATGATAAAAATTAATCTCTACATCCAGCCGAAACCATAATATAAAGTCTTTGGAGTTTTGGATGGATTTCTGGATAGTTTTTAATAATTTATTATAATTAAATTACTGAAAGTCCGAAATCCTGTCCAGCTTCATAGAGGTTTCAGCTACATGTATAATTTTAAACGGTAAATCATGTATTTATCGATCAAAACAATTCTGTTTAATCTAATTTTTTCAAAATAAATAATATATGCGTAGATCTTTAACATATAAATACCAACCCCTTCCCTGTATAATAAAAAAATCTATTACATCATTTTTTTTCTTCAAATTATAGTGTGTTACTTCTGCCATTTTTTTAAAAAAATAAAAATAATTAAAAAAAATTTTTTTTTTTTATAATTAATAAATAAATATAATAATAAAAACATTTTACACACTTACCCCTTAACTGAAATTATATATAATTTTTTTCATAAACTATAGACTAGACTCACTATAGAATAAAGAGCACAGGCAACTATGATGGTTGAATGTAGCTTTACCTCAAGGGAAATTACCGCTAAAATTAGTTGTAAAAGTCATACAACAATATTAAGACTTAAAAAAAATATGAAGAAACTGGTAATGTGAAAGACAAGCCACATTTAGGCTGACTACAAACATTAAATGAGCGTTATAAACGTACTATTGTAACTTGTAAGATATTTAATTAATAAAAATGTTCTACTACCATTTCATTAACAAAATCTTTACAAGTTAATGAAAATATTGAGGTTAGCATTAATACTGTGTGTAGAATATTAAGGAGAAATGGTTTGGTTTCTAGGGTAAAACATAAGAAGTCCCTTTTATCTAGAAAATACTGAGAAACACAGGTCGAAAAGTGAAAAATTAGGCATCAATTAGTCACCAATCAGGCAGTTTGCTAACTTTTGATCCAGTGATCAGAAAAGGATGAAATATAGCTCATTGGAATCGTCTCAATAAGACAAATCTAATGGTAGTAAAATCGCATTTTAGGATTAATACTTGATGAGAAATTAAGTAAAATATAAAAATAAAATGTATCATTTATATTTTATTTAATTTTTTATTAACTATTAATTATAGAGATGCGATTTTATTACCATTAGATTCGTCTTATTGAGACGATTCCAATGAGCTATATTTCATCCTTTTCTGATCACTGGATCAAAAGTTAGCAAACTGCCTGATTGGTGACTGATTTATGCCTGATTTTTTACTTTTCAACCCGTGAAAAATGGCTTAATTTCACCAAAAGATTTAAGAATTGGACAATAAGTAACTGGAGCAAGGTGATGTGGTCTAACGAGTCTAAATTTCAAATATTCAGATCAGATGAATGCCAGTATTATTGGAAAAAGCCCGGAAAGCTGCTTAAAAATGCCCATATTAAACTTACAGTTAAGTTTGGTGTGGGTAGTGTTTTTATATGAGGATGTTTTACTTCTTGTGATATTGGTTATTTATATAGAATCGATAGAGATCTTGATGCTAATATTTATCGCCAAATATTAGATGAAGACTTCATGAAGACACTTCAGTATTATGAATTAAATATTTCAGACATTGTCTTTCAGCAAGACAATGATCTGAATGAAACATACCGCTATATTTACTAAATAATAGTTTGATGATAATAATGTTGAAGTTTTTTTATGGCCATCTCAATCCTCTGAGTTTCCAATTTAAACCCTATAGAACATCTTTAAAATGATGTAGATTATCGACTCAGGGCATTAAACATCGAAATTAAAAGAAAGGATTCATTATGGGAGCATATTTCTCAAATTTGGAATGAAACGGTATTGAAAATATGTACTAAACTAATTGAGACAATATTGGAAAGAATCCAAGATGTTATTGATACTAGAGGTGGTTATACACAATAGTAAAAATATTTTCATGAACTTTTTAGTAATATTTTTTTTAGTTTTTTTTTAAAAAAAAATAATAATAATGCAAAACGTACATAAATGATGTACCATGATTTTAATAAACATTGTGTAAATAAAGTAAAACCAGTTTATTAAATATTACTAAATTTATTATATTTTTAATGCTTTTATACTATATTATATATAAAATAATTATTATATTTATATAGGACTCCGCTTACTTCTAATAGAGGTAACCTACAAGCCTAAGGTAAAAATTATATAGAAAAGTCAAAAAACCTGGTTGAATTAATAAGGTAAAATTCTTTATAAATTAAAAAAAAGTAAATGTAATTCCATGGTAAGTTTTTTTTATGTAACTGTTAAGTATATGGTAAAATTAAATAGGATTTTAAAATGTAACTTGTAATTATAAGGTAAAATTTATGATTTCATAAAATTTATTAGTATATATTATTTTTAGCACAAAGTTTATTACATGAACATGTAAAATTTCATTACACAAATATGTAAAATTTATTATATTATTTTTAGAGGACCCGGACATTACATATACAACTCAGTGGCAACTTTTTTGCAGATTGACCTAAATTTCACAAAAAAAATCAGTTTTTTGCGATTATCTCGGTATCCAGTAGTCCAATTTGTACGAATTATTTTTCGTTTTGTAGCTCTCATCAAACTCTACAAAATAAAAAAAAATCTGCATGAATTGGATCACTGAATACCAAGATACTCACAAAAAACAGAAAATAAAAAAAGAGCAAATTGGGTCTTTTTTTGGCAAAAAGTCAGTTGTGAGTTCTATAAAAGATGTTTGGGGTCTTATTTTTAGCATAAGTTTATTACACAGACATGTAAAATTTCATTACACAGATACATAAAATTTATTATACTATTTTTAGTTACAAGTTTATTACACAGATACGTAAAATTTATTGTACTATTTTTAATTACAAATTTATTACACAGACATTTAAAATTTATTGTACTATTTTTAGTTACAAGTTTATTACACGAACATGTAAAATTCATTACACAGATACGTAAAATTTATTGTACTATTTTTAGTTACAAGTTTATTACACAAACACATAAAATTTATTATACGAACACGTAAAATTAAAAAAATAAATGTGTAAAAAAGAATTTTTTAAGAATATCTGTGTAATATAAAAAATTATAAAATAAAGTGAAGAACAGAAAGGTTGGAGGCGGTAGGTAGGATAAATTAAGGTTATTTATTTATTTATTTTTTTTTGTCAAAAAATAATATATATCTTGTAACTATTGATTAATTTTGAATTTATTTTAAATAGAAACTTTTTTACTTTTTTTTAAAATAATTATATCTAAAAATTAGGCCAATTTTAAAAGAAATAAAAAGTACTAAATGTATAAAATAAATTATGTTTTATATAATCTATAATTATAAATGTTACTGAACTTGTAAGGTAAAAAATATATATGATTTAAAAATATAACTGGAAAGGTGGTAAAATTACTTAGTAGAAGGAAAATTTGGAGTAAAATAAATTTACATATAAATCTTAAAAATTTTATGGTAACCTTTATTAGGCCAAAGAAATAAAATTATTCGTTTCTCATGAAAAAAAATTGCTAAATTTGACCTGGCCACCCGAAAAAAAAATTTATTTTCAAAAAAAAATTTAGCCGATTCCTAGAAGATAATTGGTTGATTTAATAAATTTTTTGCCCGGGTTACTGGGTGGAAAAAAAAATTATTTTTTTATGATTATGATTGGTCAAAATCAAAATCACATGACCAAATAAAAATAAATTTTTTTATCTTTTCGCAACATTTACATGACCTGCCCGGTCATGAGAAACGAATAAATTTATTTACTTGGCCTTAGAAATAAGCGGGATCCTATTTATATACATTCAAATTATTAATAAATTTGTAATTTAATATTTAATATTGATATGGTACGTTACTTATGCAAAGCACTATATATATATATTATTAAATTAGCAACCAATACAGTCAACTCTTAATATAATGAAGTGGGCGTCCAGGCTGATCAGGCCTTCGTTATAGGAATATTCATTAATATGATGGGAAAATCTGGTACAATCTGGAAAATTATGGTATATTGTGGTATATTGTTGTATAATAATTGTATTTTATAATGCAAAAACACAAGTTATACAAAATATTTTCGTTATATTGAAAAAAAATTTGTTATAAAAGAAAATTCATTATTAAAAGAAGTGTTTTTCATATACAGTTTATAAAATTTACTTTGTTAAACGGTATATGGTATTTAATTAGTAAAATTCGGTATAATGAGATTTTTTCATATGTTAAAATCTGTACTACACTGAAGATCCGTTATATTGTAAAATTCATTATATCAAAATTCGTTATAAGAAGAGTTAACTGTAATCGTAAAAAGATGCAATACAACTTGTTGGAATCGTCTCATTGAGAAAAATCAAATGGTGGTACAGTGCAGAACCTCTATAATAGGAACTTAAAAAAATTTAAATAAAATTTGATTTTATGATTAGATTTTAATTTTATAAAAAAAATTAAACTTTATTTATTAAAAGGAATTGATTTATAAAATAAAAAAAGTCTCGATTTTTCAGATTATGTAAGCATCACGTGATACATATATTAACCAATCAGAAATTAGGATTTTATAAGTTATATGATATAAAATTTATATAATATATTTATTTATTGTATTTCATTATAAACTGATGAATTAGGTATACGATGATAGATTTGTATTTTATTATTTGTATTTTTTGACCAAATTAAAGTAAAATTACTTAGTTTTTGAATTTTTTCATTTATAAATTCATCTGAACTGTCTTTTAAATATTCACTTGATGGTATATAATTATCATCTATAACATTAAATTGACCTATACAGTCAACTCCCTCTATAGTCACTCCCGTTATAGTCACATTCTACTATATAGTCATACCAGTTGAATGTTCAAAACACTTTATTATTAAAATCTATCCTATATAGTCACAATCTATCTATAGTCACTATCACACCTATTCTCAAAAATCTTATATTAAAAAGAACCGTTTATAAT